TGATAACCTTTATGAAGCATTTAACCTTTGTCCACAAGACTTGCGGTGTAACATATACTATATTGATAAAAGCATTGGGACACCTCTCCAAATGATTGAATTCAGGTGTTCCAATCACTTCCATAGCCACAGCTGTATAAAATCCAGCACTTAGGCATGCAGACTGCTTCTACAAACATTTGTGAAAGAATGGGTTGCTCTCAGGAGCTCAGTGGTACCGTGATAGGATGCCCCTTGTGCAATAAGTTCAGTTTCCTCGTTACTAAATATTCCAAGGTCAACCATTAGTGGTATTATAACAAAGTGAAAGCAATTGGGAACAACAGCAACTCAGCCACAAAGTGTTAGGCCATGTAAAATCCCAGAGCGGGGACAACGCATGCTGAGATGCACAGTGTGCAGAAGTCGCCAACTGTCAGCAGAGTCAATAGCTACAGACCTCCAAACTTCATATGGCCTTCAGATTAGCTCAACAACATTGCGTAGAGAACTTCATGGAATGGGTTTCCATGGCCGAGCAGCTGCATCCAAGCCTTACATCAACAAGTGCAATGCAAAGCGTCGGATTCAGTGGTGTAAAGCACACTGCCACTGGACTCTAGAGCACTGGAGACATGTTCTCTGGAGTGACAAATCATGCTTCTCCAGGAGGAGAGCGACCTTTGATCCCAGGGCCGTTCAACTCCTCAATTCACAGTTTTCTTCCCCCCCGCCTCCCTGCACTGGTCAGTCATTCTGCACTTGACCCCCCCCCCCCTTCCCCCATGCCCACTAACAATCCCTCCCTTTACATATTCATCAGTTCTTATCTACCTTATTGACTGCAATTTTAGACAGCGTCTTTCAAATACTGTTGCACTTTATGTCATTGTGTACTGTCCTCGTTCAACTGCCCTGTGTGCCTTCAATTGCCCCCTCGTGGACAAATAAAGTTATTTGAATTGAATTGAATTGAATTCTCTGTCTGGCAATTTGATGGACAGTCTGGGTTTGGGGGTTGCCAGGAGAACGGTACTTGCCTGACTGCATTGTGCCAAGTGTACAGTTTGGTGGAGGGGGGATTATGGTGTGGGGTTATTTTTCAGGGCCAGGCCTTCTTGTCCAACATCAGTGCCTGACCTCACAAATGCTCTCCTGGAAGAATGGTCAAAAATTCCCATAAACACACTCCTAAACCATGTGGACAGCCTTCCCAGAAGAAGGCTATTATAGCTGCAAAGGGTGGGCCAACTCCTTATTAAAGCCTACGTATTAAGAATGGATTGTCATTGAAGTTCATATGTGTGTAAAAGCAGGTGTCCTAATACTTTTAGCAATATAGTGTATGTGTCCTGTCCAGTCCAGCCGTGCTTGTCTGATCCCTGCATTTCCCTTGGGCATCGCTGCTAATCAACTGTGCCTTAAGCTTGTTAGTCTTACCTCTTGTTCCTGCCCTTTTGTTAACCAGCCACAGCTGCCTTGTGTTTCCTCCTTTGTTAATCATGTATATTAGTGTCTCTCAGTCCTGTGTCCCCCTGTTCAGTCATTGTTCTCTGTGCTACCCAGCCTGTTTCTTGCAATAAACACCCCTGCGAGGGGTTTGCTTACCAACAGGCTGCATTTGGGGGTTCTTCTCCTACTGCTATGTGAAAATATGTTGCCCTTAGCTGTTGGGGGGGGCATTCCAGCAGTCAAGATTCCTTGCCACGGAAAGTGGTATTGAGGCATCTGCCATTTCTCATGTAAAATATAATTTGTAGTTAGCAGGCAGTGGTTGAAGTCAAGGTGTTGTGTGGGCCAGTCAAGTTCTTCCACACCAAAGTCATCAACCATGTCTTTATGGACCTTGCTTTGTGCACTGGGGCACAGTCATGCTGGAACAGAAAAGGACCTTCCCCAAACTGTTCCCACAAAGCTGGAAGTGTAGAACTGTCCAACATGTCTTGGTATGCTGAAGCATTGAGAGTTCCCTTTATTGGAACTAAGAAACCTAGCCCAACCCCTAAAAAACAACCCGATATCATTATCCCTCCTCCACCAAACTTTATAGTTGGCACAATGCAGTCAGGCAGGTAATGTTCTCCTGGCATCTGCCAAACCCATATTCCTGTTTCCATTGCTCCAGAGTTCAGGGGCAGCATGCTTCTGACTACTTGGCATTGCAGTTGGTGATGTGAGGTTTGCATGCAGGTTCTCGGTGATGGAAGCCCATTCCTTGAAGCTACTGGCAGACAGATATTGTGCTAAGGTTAATGCCAAAGGAAGTTTGGAACTCTGCAGTTATTGAGTCAACAGAGCGTTGTCGTTTTACGCACTATGTGCCTCAGCACTCTGCAACCCCTTTCTGTTACTTTACATCTGCCACCTCATGGCTGAGTTTCTGTTGTTCCTGAATGTTTTCACTTTGCAATAATGCACGTACAGTTGACCGTGGAATATCTAACAGGAAAGAAATTTCACGAACTGACAAATAGTAAGGGTGGCATCCTATGACAGTATCGCACTTGAATTTACTGAACTCTTCAGAACAACCCATCCTTTTACAAATGTTTGTAAACCTGACTGTATGGCTAGGTGCTTGATTTTATATACCAGTGGCAATGGGTCTGATACCTGAATTCAATGATTAACAGGTGTTTCCCAATATTTTTGCCCATATAGTGTATAGTGGACAATATAAATTGCTGTGTCAGTTATTTTTGTAGACTTGTCTGTAGGTGTACTAGAACATAAGAACATAAGAAATTTACAAACAAGAGGAGGCTATTCGGCCCATCAACCACGTTTGGGGAGAACTTAACTAATAGCTGAGTTGTTAAAATCTTATCTAGCTCTGATTTAAAGGAACCCAGGGTTTTAGCTTGCGCTATTCCATACTCTAACTACACGCTGTGTAAAGAAGTGCTTCCTCAAATTCATTTTAAAATGTTCTCCTGCTAATTTCCACTTATGGCCACGAGTTCTAGTATTTAAACTAATATTGAAGTAGCCATTTGGCTGAACTTCAATATTCTAGAAATCTTGTCTCGATCAGTTCCACGGTAACAACATGCCATAAGCTTTTCCCATACCACCTCCAGTTTACCCAGTCTGGAAAACAGTAAATAAAAGTATCGAAAAAGTGCCATACCTTTACTTACCTTTTTCTGCAGAATTCCATTCCTGGCTTTGTATCCTGATTTTTCTAAGTTATTCTCATAGTGTGCATGCTGAAATCCATGGGTGATAACTGATGACTTCACAAACATCATAACATAAAAATTCCAACTCCACAATAACATTCCCATAACTTAGTGGGAACCCCACACAATGACATTCAGCAGAGGTTTAGCGAGGACCTTTAGGGGACGTGCTGGGGACGTTTTTGTTTACTTAGGAACATTTCATGTCATTTCTAGACTCTGATAAGTTTCTGTTTGGTTTGCATTGTTAATAAAAACCCCTTTGTTGTTGTTAAAATGCCTGGCCCAGAGTCCCATGTTGTGCCAAGTGTGACATCTACATAACACATATTTTCCACCCACTAGTACACCCAGTATCCATCTTATACGTGTAAATACTGCCTTATTTACTTATTTGACACTTTGCACTACTACTTCTCACTTTACTGATAATTGCACACTATTTATGGACATTTTTGATTAGTGTTTAATGATTATTGTTTAATGTTTAGATTCCCCAGTTTAATGGTCTTGGAACTTGGAACCCAAGCATTTCACTACATAGTAATTATAAGTGTAAATGTGAAAAAGAGAACTTTGATTGATTGAATCCCTCACATAGTTAATAAAGAGTATTGGCTTCCAAATAATGAATGAATGTGTTTATTTAATATTTAGTGTAGTGACTGTGGCCAGCAGGGGGCCCCACACAAACAGCACTGCTGGACAGACGGCCTGGGTGGAGCAGACCTCACACAAAGCTGCTGGTCAGCAAAAGCCTGAAGACTGCAGGAGGTCAAACAGAGAGCTAAGCTACAAATGGCAAGCTGACCACAGACGTTCATTACTTTTACATGCACAGATAAGTCGAGCTATGGTTATAGCTGGACTGCACCATTTAATCGGACTACTGTCCTTGTCCCAGTATACATGCATGGGAGGGGAATCGATTTAATGACTGAAGTACAGTATGTCAGACTCCACTACAATAGGTGGCGATATGGCTCCTTTCAGCGTGTTAGTATTGGGCTTTTTCCATTATCTGGGTGTCTTAGTCCGACTAAGAGAAATTCAATTTAGTACGATTTTAGTCGGACTAACATGTTTGCGTGTATTTTAAATGTCCAGTTTCACAGAAACACACTCTGCATCCTGGTCTGCTCATTGTCTGCATGTCTCTGGGTTTAGGCAGCCAATTGACCCTGCATATACTGTAGATAAGCTCCCGTTCATGAATGAGACCATGTGCTCTTGTGATCATGTTAGACCAGGGGTCACCAACCTTTTTGAAACTGAGAGCTACTTCACAGGTACTGAGCCATACGAACGGCTACCAGTTGGAAATGACCTCCTGAACTTATCTAAACTTCATGAATTTATTTTTTTAAATATTGTCATTTTCAAATCAATATAAATGCAAATGTGATTGAAGAAGAATAACAACGGGATAAAATTACATTTTAGACGCTGCTCACTGGTGAGTTGTGCTATTTTTAGAACAGGTCCGCGGGCGACTCATGTGGTCCTTGAGGGCATCCTGGTGCATATTGGTGACCCCTGTGTTAGACATTGTGTGCCAGTAGTTCCACGGCCTACCCTCCTACCCTCCTTTCACTAAATATGTACAAGAACAAATATTTCAAAGCCCCTGAACAGAAAAATATAGTCTAAAATGTTGGACTGTGCTGTTTAAGCTGTTTAAACGCTCCTGAGAACAGCTAACAAGCCCAGCGTTTGGCTGTGTTTCTTACGTTTGGTCACCAGGCCGTTCGCTTGCTCTCTGTAGTTCAGTCTAACTGGAAAGTGAACAATCAGGTTGGACGGCTTTCTGAGTGTACAGTAGCACACTCCCCTTGGCTTCTGAAGGCTAGCCCCACCCCTGTACTTTAATAGGCCGGCTGATTCCGGTGAGACCACTTACATCTAGGGGCACCTGTGAGCACCTGACATTATCGACGAGACCCAAAGCCGCACTGTTCCTGCCGGGTATGTTATTGCATTTTTACTCCTGTCTCTGCTTCTCCACCTGGTTGGTTCCACCAGGTTCTCCTCATCAGCTGCTGGCATAGGATAGCGGGACATTAATGGCACAATGAAAATATCAAGCTCCAGGGAAACTGAAGTAATGTTTAAAGTAACACCTGTTCTGCCGTGGCTGTGAGTTAAAAAGACACAACTCCATCCAAGACTCTAAAACACAGAAATGCTTGTGATCAAATTTATGAGGAGTCTTGCCTTGAAACGTTAAAGACCAAATGTTTAAATAGTACTTTCTTTTAAATAGTATTTGATTTTTTATAATTTCTTAAGCTAATTCAAAGAACTATTTATAGAAGTTTATCTGATAATATCATTTGCCTATATTGTTCCAGTGGCTGCAGATCAATCAATAAACCATGGTGATTGCGCATTTACAGTAGGTTAGGTAAGGCCATTACTGAGTGGTGCATTTTCTGAAGGAAGGGTGTCTTTGATTTAATGTGATTATTATGATAGCAACTAGTTTAACGTGTAACCTCAAGGACACACTCCAGAATGGATGGATGATTTAAGAATAAGATATATGGCCTTCAAAGTGAGTAGAACCAAATTTCTATTATGATAAAAAGGCAATAAAGTGATTCATTAACCTCTGGAATAAAAAACATAACATACATGATATTCAGGGATAAAAGATTAGTTAGGAGTTGGATAACATCAATAATGTCTTGCGTTCAGATGTGGGCAGCTTACAGTGAGCCAGATAGAAAGATGAGGTGTTTTGTTGGGTTAGGACGTGTGCGACAGAGCAGATGGTCTTTGGCCAACAGCGGAAGACAGATTTTGATATTGGGGGGGCTCACAACAATGTAAATGCAAAGTTCTGTTTATTGGGGAGATGAATCCAAATTAAATATGGGGGGACACCCCCCCCCCCCCCAGATGCTGACACAGGAGCGATGACACACTATGTCAAGATGAAACAGGTCAGTTTTCCTGGGTAGGGAGTTTCAGTGATACTGCGCTTTTTGAATGTAGCAATACAGGTTAATTACACAAGCAGGAGGTAACATGGTTGACTGGCAGGAGAACACAGAAGAATAGAGTCATACCAACACATCAAAGACAAACAGACTAAGCATTAAGTGGATTTTCATTTGAGTTCTTTTCATGAATGGAGTTCCTAACGTCATCGGAGTGACTCTGGAGGTTACAAGGCTGTGGATTCTCTTCCTACAGGCTAGAATCTCTAGTCAGACAATGTCAGAGTTGGAACATCACATTTACCCCAAAGCAAAACTGGGACCCCAAACAATAAAAGTAGTTAAAGTATCTGCTGCTTGTGTCTGTCTGAAATGCAGTCTATCAGAGATGTGGCTGCTGAGCACGGGATTCAAACCAGCAACCTTCTCCTCACAGGCACAGAGGCCTAACCCGCTGAGTCATACACATGGGTATGGCTGGGTATACATGACTGTCACGTGATGCTCTAAAGTTCTACTGTCACTTGCACAAAGGTGCGGCCAGGCCAAGTTCAGAGAGCCACCCTGTTTCTGGGTAGGCTACATTGATGTCATTACCACAAAGACAAAAGGAACCACCACAACAACTACATTCTTTCCAACGCATAACAGAACGCCACAAAAGAGCAGTTTACGAAATATCAGTGTGTGACATTTAAGTGAAGTCACATGGATCCTGAGTGTACTCTGAGTTCCTTTCATGGTTATTTATTGAAACATAGGTGGAACTGATTTTCAAATTGAACACCAACATTAGTTTTTCATCAAACAGAAAGCATATAGTACAGTATAATGCTAAATACTAAACAGACACCAGTGGTCATCCTGGATTTTAGAAAAAATGATGACATTGTCCATGGCAGCATAAATATTGTTCAGTCCAACAATAACTGCTTATCCGGCACTGGAGCTGAAATGCCATAGACATGATACCAGGACAGCCACACATGCACTGACAGCCACATGCCACAGGTAATGTAGAGACACCGACTCACTCGACTGACACGTCTTGGTGCTGTGGGAGAAACTTGGGGGAAATCTGTCACAGAGCAGGACAGGATACAAACTCCAACCCTGGTGGGGCAAGGCAACAGTTTTGACTGACATATGTGAGGTGTTCCGGTGCAGCCAGATGACATCATTCTCTTAAACTAAAAAGCAGCTGTTTCTCAGTAATTATGAATGAACGAGTCCTTTTTTGGATGAGCTTCTGATAGTTTATATTTCTCTAAGCAGCAGAGAAAGAGGAGCCATGTACCTGCCCACAGTGACGCCCATCATCCTGCTGCTCACCCTCACATCAGTCCTAGCAGAAGACGAACAGGATGAGGTCAGCTCCGGCGAGTTACTCTCAGGCATGGAAGACGAAGGTTACCGTTTTCTGAATATTTCTGAGATCTCCGGGGATGAGGGCGGCAGCTCTTCATCAGGAGCCTTTTCTGGCATACTCCCAGTCCAGCTCAACGATACCAGTGGAAATGACACCAGAATGTCACCCATGGAAAACTTCATGCAGGAAAGTGCTGCTCTCACTGGGTGGATGAACAACGACACCACAGTTGATAATAATAACAACACTAATGTGATGGACTCACCCCAAAGCCAAAACAATACTTGGTTTTAGGGATTCTAAGCCCCAAATACAGGGATTAACAACTCAGTGAAACCTATTTAAAACTATGTGATTTAGTTCAAATGAATGGAAATTTGCACTGCTATTCTTTAATTTAGCTGATTCACTATGCTGTTGGGCATACTATAAAATTAATCAAGTCATCTGTCAAACTATAACCTGATATAAGGCAGACCCAAAATTGGGAAAAAAACAGTAAACTTGAAGTGTTGAAACATAATAAAGTTGTAACTTGAAGGACTGATGTTTAAGTTTGTTTTGACAGGATAGACTTTCATAATACTTCTGCATTCTTACAAAGTACTGGAACATCAGGTTCCTGCCAATCTAATGAAAGTCACATGTACAGTCCAAACCATGCAAAACTACGTCCTACACAACACGTATATTTCCCACATGTACACACACTGTCCATCTTATACATGTAAATACTGACTTATGTGTTCATTTGACACTTGACCACCTGTCACTTCACGCCTAATCACAAACTATGATGGCAGTAAACTTATTAGTTAGCAGATTAGTATTTGCACTACCTTTGAACCAATTAAATTCCGCAAAATTTAGTTCCACTAACTGTAAATTTACATTTACATTCCCATTTACAGCATCTGGCAGAAGCTATTAGCCAGAGCATAACATAAGTGCTTAAAAGTTTCATCAGTAAATACATTTTGATACTGGTTTAATAGATCCTGGCTAAGAATTCTATCACTCTAAAAAACTCTGTGGGCAAGTCATATATGTGTGTGTGTGTTTGTGTGAGCGGGTTTACCTATCCTTATAGGGACACAATGTCCCCATAACGTGATAAATATCCGTTTTTTTTCCCTTATGGGGACCGGTTTCCTGGTCCCCATAAGGGAAAACTCTATTTTATAAAAATCGGTGACTGCTATGAAAAAACTAAAAATGCAAAAACTCTTGTATTTCGTTAGGTTACTTATGGTTATGGTTAGGGCAGGGTAGGGGTTAAGGTTGTCATAGTTAGCGTTAGCATTTTTCCCATTGAAATGAATGAGCGGTCCCCATAAGGATATGTTTACCCTACATGTGTGTGTGTTTGTGTGTGTGTGCGTGTGTGTGTATGTGTATATATAAAAATAGAAGTATAGAAATATGATCCTGGAAGACGCAGACCACAAGAGCTGTGATTGGTGTCCATGGTGGCATTATTTTATTTTTTTAAGGGAGTGAAGAAAACATACACCCATATACTTATATCGCTGATTGAAACTGAAGTGCTGTTTATATCCAGAAGTGGTTCTATTGTGGCAAAGGGATGTGAAGAGAAGAATTTTTATATGCATTAAAAATCTCTTAATAATAAGCTAAAACACACATATATAGGCTAAATTCACACACAGAACTGTTGACGGTCAATCAGTTTCACTCTCTCTATGGCCATTGATCAGCTACAGTTTGCTTATTGCCCCAACAGGTTCACCGCCGATACAATACAGTCTCCTATGTCCTGCATTTCCACTCTCCCACTTGGACAGGAACTATGTGAGGATGCAATTTGTAAATTTTAGCCACAGTCCCCCTCACACTGTTCTCCAATCCCAGGAACCCGCGTCCGAGTCCGCCCCTCTGTGACTGGGTCCTCCAGGTGCTGAAGGTGGGATCCCTGGTTTTATGTGCAACACACACTATTTTTGTCTATCCATAGCACTTAACTGTTGTGAAATTTTGTAACCTGGAAGTTGAGGTAGGGCTGTCGACAACATCTTTACAGCCGGTAAACACGCACTGCATTGCACAGTTAAATTAGTGCCTTTTTCCGTAATATATCGGAAATGTTTTTTATATTTCCAGCGATGGAATGCATAGGGTGACCACTGACCAGATAATCCATGTCAGGGAGGACACTCTGAGCTAGAACAGGAATTGTAAATTACCATTTCAATTAAACGGACCTGGATTTCACTTGAGC